TGAGAGATGAGATTCTGCAGAGCTGCATCTTCTTCCGGGTTCTTAGTAAGGAATAAGGGAAGATAACCCCTTGTAGAATCCCTATATAACATATTCCCATAGTCCCCCTAAACTCTAAACCCTTCTTAGAGCTAGTAAGTCTTTGGTTGTAGAACTGAAGGCGGATGAAGAAGCGGCGACAGGTCTCTGGCAAAGACGAGTCTGAGGCTTGGTAGCGGTGAGATACTGGCTTTAGGGTGTGGGGTTTAGGGGTTAGGGTCAGGGGGACTTAGTAAGTAGGCTAATAACCCCTAATGGGTCATAATATAATAGCCCTACTTATCCCCATCATTACCCTATTTATTACGTCTCCCTGATACTCCAAGTAGCCAACAAGTCCAGCCACAGCATGCTGTGATACCGCACTTGAGCTATAGTCTAAACTCCTTGAAATGGGCTTATTTAGGGGATTATATAGGGGGCTATTCTAGGGGTTATTAAGGGGGATAGTAGGAGTTTAGATTAATTAAGCTCCTCATAAGGGGGGGTTATTTCGGGGATTATATGGGATTATTAAGAGGGATAGTAGGAGTTTAGACTATAGCTCATTTAACTGAATATGTACCTCATGCAGAACACAACTCATCTGCAGCGCGGCCAAGGCCACCCACAGCGATCCTTTGCAGGATCGTGGCTGAGTTGCTTCAGATGTTTCGGCTGCCAGTCATTGTGAAGGGGATCCACTGTAATCCTTATATAACCCCTATAGAATCCCTGTATAAACCCTATAGAGATCCCTATAGAATCTCTATAGAATCCTGGTATATTTCCCAATGAATCTTCTTGTTTCCCATTGACAGGACCTGCCACAGCATGGTGCACCGTACCTTCACTCACAGCGAGCTGGGCCGGAACTATAGCTCCATTGAGGTCGTTATGGTTGCACCGATTGTGCAGCATGTTGGCTTGGATAGGGATGATTGAAAATAAGATGGAAGCTATTATAATGGGGTTATATAGGGTTTTGGATTTAGGATTTAGGGTGTTCAGATAGATTGCACACCATCACGCCTTCACTGCTGTCAGTTGTTGCTGAATCATTAGGATTTTTTATGAGGATGTTACTATTCTCCCTTCTCTGGCATGATCTAACTTGCCTGAAGGAGTTTTGCATATGATGGGCAGCACCACGCGCTTCCCTGATTTTTCAGTTGCCTCGTATTTTATTTGGGGATACTACGGTACCCAATATAGAGCCAGATTACGTCATGCTTTGAGTAGGGCAGGTTTATATAGAAAAAATCATCTTACTAGGTTCAACCGCCCAAAATAAGCTACTCAGTTGGCCCGGCAAGGGCTTGGTTGTACTACCCTGCAAGAGTATAGGCTTGAAGACAGAGAGCAAATTGTCTGAAGGGTGTTTTTCAAAAATGAAGGTTACTAGCACCAGAATCTCTGCAATCTAGCATCTCCCAAGATGCTCTACAGTCCGGTAAAAGCCGCTGAATGGCAAAAGTTTTAGTTTTTCCCTCGCCCCCACACCAAAAACTGGAATCACCGAGCCCTGCCAGTGGTTTTTGAGGCCCAATTCTTTTGAAGGCCCAGCAACATGCAGATATCCAAATTTCACTTGTGGGTGCAAGTTTTACGTTTTTTGGATCCAAAAGATAAGCCCCCGAAAGCAACAGAATCAAGCGTTGCATTTTTCATCCAAAAACCCAGAAGCGCCAAAAAAAACAAGGCCTTTTTAGAATCCCACCGCTAAGGGAACCGAATCCTAAACAAAGAAAAGCCAAAAACAATTCAAGAAACAAGCCCGAAGACACAAACCTGAAACCTAAAGGAACCCAACCCCACAGCAAAGCTCAACCCCCAAAAACACTAACATCCGGGACCCTGCGCAAAATGCAAATCCAACGAATCCTCTACCCCAGAAACAGCCCGAACCTCGAGACACCCAGCAAGCACGCCCCGCAAAACAAATTGAACCCTAAACCTAACCAAAACTCCAACAAATCCTCAGACCCCGCCCCCTCCCCCAAAAAAAAGCAAGGCAGAGACAATAGCACTGAAAAGGGGAAGACTCAACCAACAAATACCTGAACACGGAGAAACTTCTAGCTTGAAGCATCAATCCCCAAGAATCCCCCAGCCCCACAAACAACCCTGAACCTCAACCGTAAACAGATTCCAAGCCCTAACCCTGCACCTCAACCTGTGAAAAATCAAGCCCTAAGACCTACTGAACCCTGAAAACACCAAAGCTTAAAGAATCCTCACCTTCAACCAAGACGCTTGTGGGTATTATGACCTATATCTTGGGAAACTCCGGTAGCTTTTCTCCAAGAATTTGGAAGGCTCTTGAGGAGGCGCCAGAGCTACAAGGATACTTGGAGCCGTCAGCTTACGCTAGAGGGATCGTGGCTTACGGTAGAAGTGGGATACCGTTTGGCACGCAGGTTCGTATCTTCATGTTTGAAGATAGGATTTGAGTCTTCGCGTAGAGAATTTTTTGACGAACGCCAAGCTCAAGCATTCTGCGCAATGAGCACAGCCTGCTTGCGTCCTCTGATTAGAATTGCTGGGTTGTAGACCCGCCGTTGGAACAAGAATCCATGTAGGCTGTTCTCAAATTCTGGGCTCCTTGTGGTTCTGGATCATATTGAGACGCCTAATGTTTAGGGGTACCAAAATGGGACCCTAATTTTGGGAACTGGCCATGGAAGGCTACGCTTCGTATAGCCCAAACTCTGACCCTAAGGGTCCAAGGACCCAAATAATAGAGTTTTAGGGCCCAAATACTATAACATTAAGGTTATTTGGCCCCTAAAACCCTATCATTTGGGCCCTTGGACCCCTAGGCTGATAAGGTCTCGTAGACCTTGGGGCAGAACACGGGCTGGTGCAGGCCACTGCTGGGTATTTCTGCCAGTATTCTTCTGACAGTTGAAATGCCACCAGATGAGCCATCATCTAAACTCCTTAAAGGGCATATATAGGGGACTGCTATAGGGGATATAAAGGGGGATACTAGGAGTTTAGATTATGGCTCAGATGAAAGTTCCGGTGGAAACCCGTTCCGGTAGACGTGCTGAGTCCATGTTGCTTCTCAAAATAGTTTTGGTAGTTTCCCAAATTGAGGGGACCCCAATATAGACCCCAAAATACTATAGTCCTTATTACAGGGACCCCCAAAAAGGTACCCCTAAATTTTGGGAAACACCCATGTTGCTTCTCAAAGTAGTTTTCGTTGCTGAAACAGCTTTTTGCACAGGCAGCGAGGCTGCTGACTCATGACAAGGCGCTTCACTCATTCACTAAGTACCATAATGGGTTACATATAGGGATTATAGGGTATATTTTGGGGTTATAATGGGGATAATGGAAAACAAAATGGAAACCCCTATTGTGGCGAGGGGGGCTGCCTTGGGGCAAAATGGGATGACGCTGCTGCTCTTTGCCGCCATTTGCAGGTGCCAGCCATGGTTGCTAGTTCCGCTTCAAGCAGGCGCACGCTGCTGAGAGCGAATTGATGCCTTCCAATGCCCAACAGCTGCCACAAATATCAGGATATGGGTATCATTCCACTTGCTCGACTTGCAGGAATGTCTACAGCTCTAAGATCTCATCGAGAGGGTGCATAGGAGAAAACTGCCCACCAGCTTTAAATCAGGCCATGCTATTCTTCGTTGGCTCAGGGGCTCCCGCAAGTCGGACCATCATGCAGAAGTCAGAATCTTCGACGTATTCTGAAGAGGCAGTCCTGGAATGTCCTGAACCGACTGACGGTGCTCAAGGCTGGCCGCTGCATTCTTTTCATAGGGCTGCCGCGGCCGCCCCGCGTGGTGAATTCTTTTCCCGCCATCATGATCGACGCTCCCAAATAATGAACTTGATTCTGCCTGGAAACTGCTTGTTAGCACGAGGTGGGCGTGGTGGACTGTTTAACTTGTGAAGGAGAAGGAGTGACCGTCGCAGGGTTTGTTTTGAACATGGTTGATACTAATCGGGGATACTAGGATTGGAGTGCCACGGCCTAAGGGCATTCTGCATAATATTCACCTCAGGCTGGATATCCATTCTTCGCAATTCAAAGACTTTAAGTTTGTACTCTTAATGTTTGTAACCTTTGCAAATACCCGAATTAAGGGCCATATTCCAGGGTTTTTGGACCCAAACCCAGGGGTACAAACCCTAAGGGTACAAAGGAGAACTCCCTGAGCAATGCCATTTCCTACCGCAGGCTGGCCATCATGCTGTGAGTGTCTGGCAGGGGGGATGCAACGAGCGGAGCGTGATCCCAAACACCTCCGAAGGGTGGCGCAGCTGTGAGAACCGCTTGGTCCTAGCACATGGGCCCATGTACAGATGGAAAATTCTTCTCCAGAGCATACCGGGCACGTTTGCCAGTCGGAATGTCATCCGACATGTGCGAGCTCCGGATCATCATTAACTTGGTGAGGCTGCAGTCTGAGGCAGCAGTTGTTTGAATCAGAAACTGCTGGAGCTTCAGGAGTCTTTGCCTTCAAAAAGTCCATGCGTTTGCTGCCGAACACTGCATTTTCCGGAATTCGGGTTTAGGGTCTAGGGCTAGGGCAAGCATGCGCGCACCTGCTGCAATGGGTATTTGCTTGATAATTGTTTGGCCCCCACCCCCCCCGGAGGTCTTGCTTTGGCAACAATCGGATGAGAAATTCATATTATGGTATTCCCCAAATAGGGGGAACCCCAGAATAGACCCCAAAATACTGCAATCCTTTTTACTGAGACCCTCAAAAAGGTACCCCAGTTTGGGGAATCCCCATATGCTGCGCTGAGCTTCGCCTGCTAGATGCTCATGGGGATTTCCTCGATGAGTATAACATGATTCCCTAAATTTTAGTTCTTTATTGGTGTTCTTGCTCATTCCATAGAAGAACTCCCTGATGTCTTCTGTTGGGGTGCCCCAAACCTTACGCCTCACGCCTCGATCGTGCTAGCGTCGTTTGTTCAAATTTGGGTGGGGCGCCTCTGCCCTTGCCATGGCGGAGTCCACCCACGATCACCTGTTCAAGCTTCTCATCATTGGCGACTCAGGAGCGAGGTTGAAAGCCTGCGTCCTTTGGGGAGTCAGTTGGACGATATCTAGGGAGCCCAAATTTTGTAAAGTTCCATTATGTAGGGGACATATTGGGGATATTGGGATAATGGAAAAGAAAATGGGAAACTACTATTTTAAAAAGCCAAATTTGCGAAGTTCAGGAGTGGGGAAGTCTTCCATCCTGCTCCGCTTTTGCTTCTCAGCTGCCAGCTTGTACAGTCTCGCGTACCTCCGGCTTCCAATCTGATGTCAGAGCTTGTCTTGTCGGATCGCAGCCAGAAAGCCAGAAGCAAAAAACAACAGTAGTTTTGGCTAATGTAGACCCCTGATTAATAAACCCCCTCCCCTTACTAGTGATTATCATAAGGATCCTAATAGCAAGGCCCTTAAAAGGAGGGAGGTTTATTGATCATGGGTCTACATTAACCCCTAAACCCTAAACCCTAAATAGTAGCTTCCATTTTCTTTTCCATTATCCCAATATAAACCCAATATAACCCCTATACATTATCTGGTATTGCGAAGTATGCAGACCCAAATGTTGTGGAGCGCTCAGTGGAGTGAGCAGTTCAAGGCGACGATGAGTTCAACGAGAAGCAGGCGTCCACCATTGGCCCGGGCCATAGTCGCACTCCTGCACAGCAAGTGCTGAGGGGGCTGGAGATTTGTGGAAGTTGAGGCGTGGATTTCAAGACCAAGTTCATGCAAGTCAGAGGCAAGAAGCTCAAGCTTGCGCTGTGGGTCTCAGCCTGAGCACGTCTAGTCGAAGAAGGATAAGAGAGCAGCATTGAAGCATACGCTCAGGACACAGCTGGGCAGGAACGATTCCGGACTCTGACGTCCTCGTGCCCTGTTGCAGCGCATGACTCTCTAAGACTGTGGGTGTGCTTTCGCTTTAGCCCCAACTGCCTATAGCTTAGTAGTAATCACTCCTTAAGTTAGAAGGTATAATCCTTAAAACTGTCGGTAACTGGGGTTACAGGTAACCCCTGTGGTTTCCTAGGCCCACCTCTAGTTGGGGTTGCAGCTGTAGACTTGCATCAGGTACTATCGAGGAGCCCAGGGAATTATTCTTTGCAGCTTGGTCACGAAGTGGATAGAAAAACGACCTTTTGTACATACATGGCATTATGTTTGTGTATATAAATGCACTCGATATGACTATATATGTATATATGATGCATCTTAAGTTGTAGGAATGATCCTCACTATACATAACGTCCTTTATATGACATGTTGTACTATACACAAAAAGTAGAATCCCAGACCCTAAACCCCAAACCCTAAACCCCAAACCCTAAATACCCTAAACCCTAAACCCTAAAACTCAGCTTCTTACACCCAGCTCTTACCAAGGCTACGACTGCACTCAGCGGAGTAGCTTCGAGCACGTGAAGTTCTGGCAGGATGAGGTCAGGAAGCACCTTGGGTTTAGGGTTTAGGGTTTGGGGTTTGGGGTTTAGGGTTTAGGGGTTTGGGGTTTAGGGTTTAGGGTTGGGGTTACCTTGGGTTTGGCAACACCTCCGACTGGGAGGGTCAAGGGGGACTTAATTGAAATAATGGAAGCTGCTACATGTTGTTTAGGATGTAGGGTTTAGGGCGTAGGGTCAGGAGGACTTAGTAAGAAGGTCACTAATGGGGATAAGTAGGGTTATTGTATGGGTTAGAAGGGTTATTGACCTACTTACTATGTCCCCCGGACCCTCCAAGCAGGATAGCACACCCTTCTGTGCCCTTGTGTACAGAGAGTGTCTCTTTTTGTGCCGCACACAATCTAGAAAAAGTTCCGGGGACTCATACTACTTTTTCCGCAGACTCTTAAGAGAGCGGCATGATGAGTCAGCTTGTCAAGGTATTCCACGAACCAGGATGCCATACTGATGCTTGTCTCCAACAAGGCTTGGACAGCCTCAATCAATCAGCACTTGCAGGGTCAGGGGGACTTAGTAAGCAGCTTGTTAGCCCCTATGACCCATATAGTAACACTAGTTATTCCCATTATAAGGGTGGTTGTCAAAATTATGGTCCCTTTTTGGAGCCCTATTATAATACGGCACCTAATATTTAGGGGACCCAAAAAGGGACCATATTTTGACAACCATCCATAAACCTACTTATTAAGTCCTCCTGACCCTCCAAGCAGTTGTGTCGAAGCATCTTGGGGAGGTGGACCTGGCTGACCAGCAGGTAACCCGAACGGAGGGCGAGGACTCTTCTGTAGCTGCCCATATGAGCTATAGTCCAACCTCCTTGCAAGGAGTTATATAGAGGATTACATGGGGGAGAAGTATGGGGCTTCTTAAGCGGGATACTAGGAGTTTAGACTGTAGCTGCCCATATGCATACCCTCAAAGCTGCTTGCCTCTTGTTGTCAGGAGTTCGCTTTTGCCAACTCAATGATGTTCATTGAGACTAGTGCCAAGACAAGGCTGGGGCAAGTAGTTGCTCCGCACAATGCAGGACGTGGGCTTGATTTGTCTGAGTTTATGGCACAGCCTTTCTGGCTTGGATCAGCAAGAAACAGAGTCGCAAAGGACAGCACTGCAACTAGTCACCCTGCGCAACCCATCCCATACACTCGAAGAACGAAGCCGCTGCCGTAGCGCATGGCAGCGCTTGATGTTGGCTCGACGAGCTGTGGCAAGTGCAATGGCGACAGCTGCCCGGCTGCACCGCATGAAATTCAGCCGTTGTAACTGCACAAGATGGGCTCAGCAGCAGCGAGGCCGAAAAGCGTGCCCTGCAAAAGCTGAGATATTACCGAGGTCCTCGCGCTCTTGGCTAAGCCGCCAGCCGTGTGCCGAGAGTTCCACGCATTCCCAAGAGTTCTCCGTCGCTTTGGGGGTTTCTTGCCAAGGTGTCGGTAAAGAGTCGTGGGATCGCCCTACACTTGAATTGGGCTCATAGCATGTGTATAAAAACATAAAGAGTTTTAACTACATTAATACTACGAGTAGTCATAACAAGAGCAGCGAGAATAATGCCAGTATTACATCTATGCAAATTTACACACCTGGAAGACATGTTTCTTTTTTGATGCTGACTTAGTCCCAGGAAAGCCCCGCGCCGAAGCAGCTACGATCTTTTTGGTGCGCCATGGGCAGTCCACCTGGAACCTGGCAGCCAAGCAGCTCGAAGCCGGTTGCTGTTAAGGAACTTGAATTAAGTTACCATACTATAAAAGGGTTCTATAGGGATATATATATATAGGGGTATATAGGGTTTGGGGTTTAGAGTTTAGGGTTTAGGGTTTGGGCTTTAAGCTTAAGGGTTGATAAGAAAACCGTATTACTAACTAGATACCCACAAGCCGATTATTTACTATATACTCATATTATGGTGACTTAATTTAAGTACCGTAACAGCAACCCAGGACATTTGGACGATGTTCCGCCAGGCATGCCAAAGTCGCCCGGGATTCTTGAGCACTAGGCAATAACAATAGTAGCTGCTCAATAATGATGATACTCATAATACTGATACTAAAGATATGAGGTACAGGTAGCAGCAGTAGTAGTAGCAGCTGTAGTACTACGATTACTACTACTACTACTACTACTCCTAGTATACTTCTTCTACTACTACTACTACTACTATCACTACTACTGCTACTACTTAGCCTCCAGGTGGACCACGCTTTGACAGCGGAAGGCGTGGCCCAGGCGGCACGTTAACGTCCGCACTCTGAGATGGACTGCGTGGGGTTGCAAGTAGATGAAAATAGATGAGCTATAGTCTAAACTCCTTAAAGGAGGCTACATCGGGGATTATAGTATGAATTATTCCGGGGTTACTAAGGCGGATGCTAGGAGTTTAGACTATGGCACAGATGGCGCTCTTACTTTGGGGGGCTTATCTGCCATTTAAGCGATGAAGGCTTCCCGCCTACGGGACACTGCGGCAGCAGCCCTCAAGCAGGGTGACGAAGAAGCCGCCCCAGTGCTGAATTCATTGGATTCAAGACTGGGGAGTTTCTACAAGTTAGAGGTTCCATTTTGGGGGGTCCCCATAATGAGGATTATGTTGGGGCCTTCCCCCCATTTAGGGAAACTACTACTTCCCATTTTGTGCAAGTCTAGATTTCGGGCGAGTAATGGCCCTAGGGATGATATAAACCCTAAACCCTAAATGGCGGTTTCCATTTTTCTTTTCCGTTATCCCAATATAACCCTAAACCCTAAATGGTGATTTCCATTTTCTTCTCCATTATCCCAATATAACCCTGAACCCTTAACCCTAAACCCTGATATTGGTAATTACTTTCTCCAACTTTTGGGCCCATCTCTGGGATCCTTGCAGCAGGGACCATATGATCTGGGAAGGACACAGGATGCTCTGATCCTAAGAGACTTCCTTTAGGATTTAAGGTTTAGGTTTTAGGGTTTAGCATTTAGGATTTTGGCTTTAGAGCTCAGATCAGTTCAGGGTTTGGGGCTTAGAGATTGGGGGCATTCATTATCAAGAGAGCCCCTGATGGGGTCCGTCTTGCAGGCAGTACCCCAAAATGGTTGGCTTCCCTAAGCGTGGGGCCCCAATATAGACCCCCAAAATACTATGATCCATTTTTGGGATCCCCAAAAAGGTACCCCTTCTTTTGGGAAACCCTTAAGATGTATGATCTGAGGAGCCTTGAAACCACTTGCTTTTCAAGCAACAACAGCGCAGATCACAAAGTGGTTCTTAGTAGGGAATCAGGCATCAGGGACTATGAAATATGGACATTACATAAAGGTATATTTCCTTATTCCCGACTAAGAACCACAAAGTAGAAGTCCTTGTTTCAGACATCCCGCTTCAGTTCGTGCAGATATGGAAGTTGCCAAAGAAGCTCAAGAAGATGGTGACAGATTACCGTAGACAACGAATGAGGTGTCGAGGCAAACAATCGAGGATTTTTTCTAGCGGTGTGCGGTTGAAGCATGCACGGGGTCCTCAGGTACTTGTCAGTCCTTGCGCGAGTTGATGGGCTGTAAAAAAATCGGCCTGTTCCGTGGCTGGCTGGCGCTATCCTGTTTGTACAACTCCACACAACTGCAAAGCAATGCGCTTACATGCACTCATCTGCTCGCCTGTATGCTGCTTCATGGACACCTGTAGCACTGAGGTCTTACAGCAATGATACGTAAGCAAATGCTTGATGTCTACAAAACAATAACTTTTCACGCTGACAGCATCATGACGGCCTCCAGAAGCAACAAGACTTGTAGACAGAGCAATTGCAGAATTTGTGTCAGTATCGTTAGAGCAGCTATTCAGCAGCGGTGGCAGTGGTAGTAGCAGCAGTAGCAATCTCTGCAGCGGCAGCTGGGAGTTATGAGTAATAACAATAATACTAATAATAGTGGTAATAATAGAAATGGTAGTTTCCAAAATAGGCGAACCCCAATATAGACCCCAAAATACTATAGCCCCTATGATAAGGACACCCAAAAAAGGTACCCCTAATTTTGGGAAACCCTAATCCCCGTAATCCCCTATATAATCCCAGTGTCCATTTCATTTTCCATGTTCTTTTCCATTTGATTCTCCATTATTGGGGTATATCCCCAAATAAAATACTACTAAAATCGATCTGACAGCCTAAGGAGCGCTTCCTCTCTCCCAGAAGCCGAGTCTTCGCATCGCCACTCTCCCGTGCTGTGGCAACAGCCATTGTGGCGCTGGGATTGCAGAGGACCTTTGAGTCCCCTAGCATAATGTTGGGTCCTGATTAACATCTCCCCAAACAAAATGGGTCCATTTTCCCCCAAAAAAAGATCTGAGTCGGTGTGTTAACTTCAACTAAATGCGAGGAAGGTTTAGAACTCAGAACCTGTTTTAGATTGAATTCAATAGGAGGAGGGTTTCCAGAGCTCAGAATCTGGTTTATTGTTAAATTCAGTAGGAGGAGTGCTGCCGAGCTCAGTAGCTGTTTGAAACTCAAATTACAGGGCGATGCTTTTATAGGGTTCTGGGATAATTCAGCCCCCCCAAAATAGTCGTGCTAATGAGGACTCAAGCAGCTACTGGACTACCCTGGCCTCCTCCAACAAACGGCTCAATTAGAAATCGATAGTTTAGGACCTGGACTGAAGCCTGAATTCCGAAAGCTGAAGACCCCTTAGGCAAACCTTTAAATAGAATTCAAGTAAGAGCAACATGCAGTAGGAAAGCAAATTAGTTGTATTCTACCTAAATGCTTTGAGAAACATGTTCGGGCCGCGCAACTTCGCACAATGAAGGCCCCCCAAACGAATCCGGGGGAGCTGAAGAATTTCGGCAAAGTTTCGCACAATTAAGGCTCCCCACGCTAATCGGGATCAAGCATTACATTGCATGGTCCTGTGCACTGAAGCGTTCCAGAGGAAGATCACGCTGCTGCCAGACGCTCGCGAGCTGGCCTATCCACTCTGTGGGCCAGACTCTGTGGGTGCTGCCGTTGGGCCTGACATTCCTATCCAAGCACTTCAGGGTATTTGCAAGGCACAAGTGCAGAGTTCCTTCAGAAGCCAGCTATTATCGTACGTGATGCCCACATGTCACGGAACTGCCAGGTGGATTCAAACTACTGCGACGCATCAATGACTGAGACTTGGATCGAGACAAGTGCCCTTCAACGGCATGTTGTTAATAGCGGCAAAATGCTTTGCCAACATGCGGCTCCTCAGGAACTGGCATCCGAAATGATCGATGCATCTGCAGCGGAGAAGGTTTGGTGGAACAGATTTCGGGAGTCCAAGAGTGAGATGAAGCAGAGGCCATCCACCCTCACAGCGACTTGTGGGATCCATACTGTTTCCAAAGAGGCTTCAAAGACTTCTGCGCACTCTTCGGCCGGCAGCATAACAGCAAAGACATGTCTTGCAAAGATGGCTTCTGGATGAATGTTTCTACTTGAGCTATAAGGTGGATAATCTACCGCATGCCAGCATACTGGTTTGCCACAGCCTGTTGATCCAGCGTCTCTTCAAAGATTTTGCATCGCCAGAGATGGAGGCGGACTGCGCCTCAGGAAGTGTGAGACCTGTGCTGGTTTGACCTTCGAGCAGTGTCCGTGTGCGACAGCTGAGGCAGCGCCGCAGTTGCTATCGCGGCTGCGGGCAAGCAAGCTGCAGAACTGCGGCGCCTAGAAAGCGAGTGAGGGATTGAAATCTCGTACTCGTAGGTTTGAGTCTTGAGCTTCAGAGGTCTTCAGTTCCAACACGCCTGTTGCTCAGCTTGCCTGTTGCATCTTTCCCGCCAACTTCAGGCGCAGTGAAAGTCACGCTCGACGAAGACAACTTAATCAGCAGTGCTCAGCTGGTCTTCGGCACCAAGCTGGTGTAAGGTGCGCAGAAATACATTGCCGTGGAAGTCAGGAACCACTAAAAACTCAAGGCACCACAGCAGACTGACCATATACAACAACTGATGCCAACAGCGACATCAACTGCATGTTCGGCGATCGCCCACGAGACGCTCTGAAAGGACTGCGGGCGTGTCAATCATTCTGGGCGTTCGGCATGGCTGATATCAGCGGTGAGGCAGCTTTCCTTTCTTGATGGTTGGAAATCGTTTCTGCCCGCCGCCAGCATCGACAAAAGGAGCGTCACAGATCCCAATATAGACCCCAAAATACTATAGTCCTTATTATAGGGACCCCCAAAATGGTACCCCTAATTTTGGGACACCCCCATATAGGAACACATTCCCGTTGCCCCTGAATGGAGCCAGCTCATGTTGACTTGCAGCAGCATTGTTCTTAGAAGAGGCTTGGCTTGCTCAAAGCGTGTTATGCAGCTTGACATTGGCCAGGCAAGGCATCAAGACAGCGTTTGAAGAGGTGGTCTTCAAAATCCTGGACACGCCATCGCTCCTGCAAAGCAGCTCTCCTGTCTTCATCGCTTGCGACGGTTGTGGGCATTTGTTTGGGAGAGATGTGTGGCAGAGCTCCTTTCTTTGGTGTACTATGCTGTCTAGCTGTGTCAGGCTGTGTCCGTACATGGTAGAAGCAGAACACGTGGCCTCCGGCTTTTCACAATGCTCCTGCGATAGTTTCCCAAAATAGGGGGCCCCCACCCCAAAAAAATATTAGAATCCTGACTAGAATTCATAAGGACCCCTAAAGAGGTACCCCTGATTTTGGGAAACCCTCATGTCAAAGCCGAGGCACGCAGCCTCTGGGAACACGCCAGGTGGATGCGCAGAGCCAGCGCCAGGCCATCTTAGGACCCCCTTCCCAAGCAAACAATTAGCAAGTGACAGTGCCCTTTTGGGATAATGGAAAGAAAATGGAAACTACTATAGCATATTGGGGTTATATTGGGATAGGGGTGTAGGGCTTAGAGTTTAGGGTTCAGAGTTTAGTGTCCTTTAGGGCACATGGGGGTTTCCCAACACTAGGGGTACCTTTCAAGGGGGTTATAGGGACTTTCTAGAAGTATATAAGGCATATAGGGGGGCATAGGGATTAGGGTTTCCCAACATTAGGAGTACCCTTTTGGGGGTCCCCATAATAGGGATTATAGTATATTGGAGGTCTATATTGGGGTCCCCCTCTTTAGGGAAGCTACTACATCCCTGAGAGGCTCCGCAAGAGGGATGCGCCTGCTGATGTCTTCCAGCAGAAGGTCGCGGGCCCTGATTCCAGAGTAACGCTTCTCAAGCCATTTGGGGCTGTCCCATAATTAGGGGTACCACTTTGGGAGTTCCTATAATAAGGATTATAGTATTTTGGGGTCTATATTGGGGTCCCCCTATTTAGGGAGAATTTCCTGCTGGCATAGAAGCAGAATATGGCTGCTGCCCTCGCTCGCCTGCGGACCTTCTGTCAGCCGTAGCGTAGGGTGTTAAGACGCCACTTGCAGGCCGTGGCTCCCGAAGTACCTGAGACACTGAAATGGGGGTTTCCCAGAATTGGGGGTACCTTCTTGGGGGTCCCCATGATAGAAACTAGAGTATATTAGGGTCTATATCGGGGTCCCCCTATTTGGGGAAACTACCAAAATCTTGCAACGTCAAGCTGCAGAACTCCCTCCAGGATTGCCCAGGTACCACGGCATGCCTGCTGCCTGAATGGCCAGCTTTGCAGAGGGTGGCCTAAGTGCCGCGTTCCATTGTCTCACCGTTTAGGGCGCTGCACTTTAAGATCGGATGCGAAGACCTTAGAATCCCCTAGACCCTAAAGCCGGCTTACATCGCACAAGACCCGCGGTGCCTGCTTCGGACACGCGATGAACCACAACTCAAAAAGCCCCAAAGCGCTTGCGCTTGCCACTCCAGGCGCTAGACCGCAGCCCCGTGCACCCCGCTTCCTCGGTACAGTCCTCGTTAGCGACCACAGCGCTGCGAGAATGCGCCAGGGAAAAGCGTTGAAGAGATTCAACAATGAGAGTAGTGGGTTTGGGGAGTAGTTTATCCTGCACCTTTTTTGACAGGCAGGGCAAGTTCTGAAGCTGAGTGGCTTCGTCGTATGAGTTGACTGAAGCGGCGTCACATGTAAGTTTATCCTGTGGTGATTGCCCAAAAGAGGGGACCCCAACATAGACCCCAAAATATTGTAATCCTTATTATAGAGACGCAAAAAAAAAGGTACCCCTAATTTGGGGAACCCCCATGAAGTCATAAAAAGCCTTAACCCTAAACCCTAAACACCCTAAATCCCAATAACCCCTATGTTATGGGAAGAACGTGGGCAATGCATCTTCATTTCATGGCCCGCAGCGCTGGCACGGGCCCTCTCCCGAGTTCACCTGAAGTGCTGGATATGTGTTAGACTTCACATGAGCCATAATCAAAACTCCTCAAAGGGGTCTATATAGGGGATTATATAGGGAACTGCTACAGGGGTTATTAAGCGGGATGCTAGGAGTTTAGACTATAGCTCACATGAGTAGTGTTCGGTTTGGGGTTACTATGGTACCCATTATAGAGTAAGATTCTATCCTCCTTTTGGGGTATAATATTTTACACAAGGAATTTCATCTTACTGGGTTTAACCACCAAAAAAAGGCTACCCACATGAGTAGTGTTAGGTTGGGGTTACTATGGTACCGAACATAGGGTAAGACTATATATCCTTTCTTTGGGTATAGTAGTTGGAACCCAGAATATACAACCACCCAAGAAACGCTACTCACATGGGCAGGCTGTTGGGAGGGAAGAGCTTGAAACTTCTTGAACCCTTCCAGCGCGTTTGAACAAGAATGCCGTTCTAGGGGTTCCAGAGATTTGAGTCGTTTCCCTCTCCCAAAACAAGAATCTTTAAAAGGGACACCCCTGATTCTAAGGGCAAGCCATGTGCAAATGCCATGGACTGGTGCAGCAGCTTACTTCGCGCTGCGGTTCTGCTTTGCAGTCCACAAGGACCGTTCAAAGATCCCCTGGTCCCGTGTGCTTTGCAACAAGATTCGATGAGATCATCGCTCCAGCAGGATACAGCCCCCACTGATTACAGGGAATATTAAGCTCTATTGGGATAATGGAAAAGAAAATGGAAAGTACTATAATGGAAAATCAAATGGAAAAGAAAATGGAAAATGAAATGGAAACTAGGGAATACTATCGTTGGAGTCCGAAGCATCGCCCAGCCAACGCCTGTTTGTCAGCTTCGCTGCAGGAACAGCCTCAGACGTGGCAATCATCTCCTTGGCCACAAACGATTACTATGCCAGCGCCCAAGGACTGCGACGCCTCTAGCAAAGCAGAGGTGATTGTAGGCCCACTGGCGTTCTGAGGCCAAAGGAGCATTGGTGACACTACATTCTGCTGGGCTCCACACAGGCGCCCGAGACCAGACTTTCAGCCGTTTGCAGTCAGTCCGTGGCAGCTTCTCCTAAATTCAAGCCAGCTGATGCTTGCAAACCACTTCAACGAGCATTTGTAAAGCAATAGAAATTGGCCTCACTCGTCCCTGGCCCTAGAGGACCGCATGTGGACAGAGTTTTGATGGTTCCCGAGCCATCGCAGCTGACGAACACTTGGCGGCAGCGTTTCGTTTCTTTGGGGATCAAGGCTGGTGGCCCAGATCAGAAATCCACGTTGACATTTGAGCTATAGTCTAAACTCCTTAAAAGGGGGTTGTATAGGGGATCATTATAGAGGGTTATTAAGGGGGATACTAGGAGTTTAGACTGTAGCTCATTTCATGTCCCACAAGAGCGTGCGCAGGTTGTGGACGTAAACGCGGTGCAGCCCAGCAAGTCCTTCCTGGAAGCGATGGCTTCTGAGCGCCAGGACTTGGCGAAGCATCCTGGATGATAAGGGCATCGTATGTTTTTGAACACACGGGATGTCTATGGGTACTGGCATATGTGAGTACAAAACAAAACCGAAGAAGACAAGTTCTTGCTGTCAAGTGGCAACCTGGCAGATGCTGTTGGGCTTCAGTAAGCCAAGTTCGCTTGAACACTAAAGTGGCACTCCAATGTTCCAGGAACCCCAGTAGAGTAGCAAGTCTGCAGCACGAAAGAATCCGGAAGCCATCACAGGGAGTGATGGTATCTCATAGCAGAAACGTAGTGGAAAAATGCGATGTTTCAACATGATCCCTACGCTCTTGTATTTCAAACCCTCATCCCTAATCCAACCACGGAGCCCTACAAAGCCGCGCAGAGTCCTGCAAATGGCTTCAGCTTCTTTAGTGGCCTCGTCTTGTATAGTCTCTATTTAACCTATCTGCCTTCATAAAAGAGGAGTAGACCTATGCACGTGAGGGCATACTCTTCCTTGGGGGTCTTGCGGGTATGTGCAGGAATCGGTTCCTTACCCTGAAAACCAACTAGGCGAGGACCTTTAACCCAACATTGGAGTACTGCAATTTAATACTTTTCTGGTTCCTGGGTTCTTATTAAAGCAACTTATACCTAAAAAGTCTACACTTTTTTCTGGTGTTTACTCCAAACTAAGATTAAGAAAGGTTCAAAGTTGGCACACCCACTGCCCAACCATGCCAAAAACTGTGATGCCAGAGGCCCTTAGTTACATGTATTGCATCCTAAAGCCTGGGACCCCAATGACCCCACATAATCCCTATATCACCTCGTATTATTATTGGATAGTCCACCATAACCCGCAGAAAAACCCTATGTATTAACATGGCTAGAAACCCTTGAACCGGTAAACCCTCAAACCCTTTAACCCAAAAACCCTTAAATCCAAAAACCTCAAACCCTTAAACCCCTAAAACCTCTAAATCCCTCAAACCTTTAAACCCCAAAACCCTTAAACCCAAAAACCTCAAACCTTTAAACGCCTAAAACCTCTGGATCCCTTAAGGCCTAAACCCTAAAACCCCTAAAACCCTTAAACCAACAACTCCAAAATTTTAAAACACCAAAACTCTTAAATCCTTAAGCCCCGATTCGAAGAGAACCAGGCAAGGCTTGCTGGAGGTTCTGCAGCCGCTTTCCTATGGCGGAGCCTTTGCCAAGGCCCTGGGGCCATGGCTCAAAGGAATCTCTACTACAAAAATCTTGGGTTGCTGTTAAGGAACTTAAATTAAGTTACCATACTGAGTATATACAGTAAATAATAGGGTTTCCCCAATATAGTAGCTTAAATTAAGTTCCTTAACAGCAACCCAAAATCCTCAAAGGGGTTTGGGGTTTTAAAGGGGTTTAGGGGCTTTGAAGGGTTAGGGCTTTAAAGGGGTTTGGGGTTTTGAAGGGGTTTAGGGTCTTGAAGGGGTTTAGGGTTTTAAAAGGGGTTTGGGTCTTAAAAGGGGTTTAGGGCGGGACCCAGAATCTCTAAGGACGCCCTGTTTTCAGAAACCCTTGAACTTGTTGAATGGATGTTTGATTTTTGTGTGTTTTGAAACGGCTGTTTTGAGTATGTGGCAAGGTTCCTTTGCAACATTGGTGAGTGTATGCGTTGGGTGTCCAAGTGTAATGGCTATGAATATACAATGTCACCAATGATCAAGATGCACATCCTTTCTACCATAATAAACACACAAGCTACCTTGTTTCCTCACATGATGAGAGAGGTCAGCCGGTAGAATGCAGACAGAAGAGAGACGACATCACAAATCGGGATTAAACAGTCAAAGCCTCCAGAGGTGTCTACTGGACCTCTATATAGTATAATGCACTTAATCTACTATAATATAGTAGAGTACCTATAGTATACTACAATATCTATTAAAGTTTGAGGGGGTATTGTCGATACTAGAAATCCGGTATGCAAAGAACATACTGGGATCGTGTTTGCTTACAGTATCCACCGTGCATATGCGAACTCGCTGGGCGGGTCGAAGTACACTATTGCACTTCGAAGACTTTACGGGGCCCGTCATGGGGCCAGGTGACAACAGGATAGCTGACAAAGACAGAAAGACAGATGTGCACAAAAAAGGTACCCTGATACGACGTTGCGAGAAGTTCGTACGTGTGAGATAAATGTCTCAGCACAGAGACAGGGACAAGATGCCCTTCAGGATTAACATGGAATCTTAGCGGACTTTGTTCCCGAAGCGTGGCAGAAGACTTGGTAGTTTCCACAAATATGGGGACCCCCCATTATAGACCCCAATGTATTAAAATCTTACTATGAGGACCCCAAGATGGCACACCTAATTTTGGGAAACCTTAGTCCCTATAAAGCCATGACCTAATCCCAGTTTCCGTTTAATGTTCCATGTTCTTTTCCAATTGATTCTCCGGTATTGGGGGTAATATGCCTCTAATTTTGGGAAACCCCAATGTCAACTTCAAGGAAGACCTTTAGATCTGAAGACTCGGAAAGGTCCACGCATGGGACGAGAGTTTGGGATACGCGCGCCCTGGAGAAATGGTGTTGGTGCCAACCCTAAACCTAAACCCTAAAAACTAAACAGCCGCTCCTATAAGGCATTGAGGGCTTTTCCAGGTAAGATTCACACCCCTCAGGAATTTCAGGAGCTGGGGGGGGTAGTAGAGTAGTATCTCTGGGCCTTCAGGATCATTCTATCTCTGGGCCTTGCCAGCCCCTAAACCCTAAAACACTAAAGCCCTAAACCCTAAAACCTTAAACCCTAAACCCCTAAACCCTAAAACACTGAAGCCCTAAACCCTAAAACCTTAAACCCTAAACCCCTAAACCCTAAACCTGTTGTGATCAGGAA